GGTGTAACGAGCCGCCCGAATCCATCTTCGACCTCTCATCTCCGCGAGAAGACCGTTTTTTTGCGCCTCGCCAACGGAAATTTGTCTGTCGCTGCCTTAATACACCGGTTGTCACGCGCGTCGACGGTGATTCATCCCGGGATACTTCTGACGGACGAAGTAGACGGACTCATTTCTTGGACTTTAATTCGCCGTTTCTCCCGCGCAATTTTAGAACGACGTCTTTGGCGCGCAGGTAGAAAGAGATAAACGTGGATAAAAATAGGTTGGAATATGTAGAACAAATGTCGCTCATTACTCTATCTTAGTTTTTGTACACAAATTAGTTAAAATTAAGTGAGATTTAACGAACTTTTGTGAAAACCATTTTGTGAACATACATAATTAAGAAAAAAAAAACAAACGTGAAAACGCCTTGAATAACTCTCCGAAGATCACGCTGCGAAATAATGTTCCAAAAATAACACGATCGTAAAAAATGAGAAATGTATCATTCGCATTATCTACAGTGAAAATATAAATATATTTATATTTAAATTTGAAGACAAAGAAAAAAGAGCATGATACGCGCGATTCATGCTATTTTTTACTCCTTTTCGCAGTAAATCGCAAAATTTAATAGAATTCCGCGTAAAGATATTATATTCGCTCGCCATGTAGTTGTAAAATGTCGTCGTGAATCATATCCGACGGAATTATGCAATTAATTTTCATAGTAAATGGCATTAGCGGGACACGGAAACTCCGTTTCCGCCTTTACAAGTGTAAAGAGGCAACATGCGATACTCACGCTTATGTCCTCCATGCTGCAATTTCCGGCATGCATTAATCCGTGATTGGTATAACTTTCCATAGACGTCGTGCGAAAACGTAGACAAAGACGAAACGCGCACACTAAACGCGTACTGTCATTCGTAGGACGCGCTCCGTGTTTGCCCTTCGCGCAATATTCTCCCTCGGGCAAAGCGCACGTACGCCGATCGGTTCAACAAAAACACCGCCGACTTCTCTCTTCCGCGATCATCATTCGTAGAAACCGGTCGATCTCATCAAAGGCCGGAGTTGCGACCCGTCCACGTTGGCTCGCGTCTCTGCAGCCTCATTGACTCGCCAATGACACTTGCCGAGAGTCACAACACGTCGTTCACTACGCTACTACGATCAGGTATATAGCACAGGGCGAGAACATGCACACGCGACGCTCACCGCAAGATCGCCGGCAGGGTCGACGCCACCGCGACGCGGCGACGATCGCGGCAGCCACCAGGGTGGTCCACGGAGCGTGACATCCTCCGTATCGGTCGTCGAAGTCTCCAACGCGCAACTTGGGAGCAACGTAAAGCGGATGACAGTCCGACCGGCCGGAATCACGAAGCGCACTCGTTCGCGACTCGCGGGTCGCGCTCTAGAGATCCACCGTCGACCTCAACCACCCACAGTCACCGACTACGAGATTCTCCGACTGTGAGACGCCCGACCGAATGGACTTTCGGTCGGAAAAATTGTTCGGAAAATCGTCTCCCGAGCGATAGTCGTAGACGACTCGCATTGGTTTCTCTTATCGGACCGCACGAAACCCACCGGTTGAGAAAAAAGGTAGGGACCACACACAGCCGCCAAGAGGTGTTCGAGGATCGTCACGGACGTTCTCGGGGGAACCGACGATACGGGCGACCGCGCCGAGAAAGAGAGAGCCAAGCGCTCGCCGGCTCGGGCTGAAACTCACTGAGTCGGCTTCTCTGGTGCCCGGCAGGTCTGCCCGCGCCGCGACGTGGTGAGGGATCGTGGGGCAGACGGAGAGGCAGGCAAACGGGAAGAGAGAAAGAGAACGAGAACGATGTGGTAGAGCGAGACGAGGACGAAGGGGCCCTACCATCGTGCCCCCTCCAACCGGATCGCCGGGTGCCCAGGGCTCCGACCATTATCTCTCTCGGCCAGTTTTGCCCTGCACGAGGGGCTACACGGGGCAAGGGCACGGGGAGGGGTTGGAAGGCTTTATTATATTTACGAGGCGTTATCGAAGCAATCCAACAATATTGATTCCGCGCCGCGGAGCGATCGCCCATCTCAAAGAACGCCCAGCCACGGACCCCCGTTCGCTACGTTTATACGCTACCGGAGGGCTCACGGCGCCCTTATTTCTTTCCACTCGTGCGCTCTCGACTCCGAGACTTTTTATTTAGCCTCTCGCTTTAATGCCCACCGAATGCGATCGAATCGCCGCACGTTTTCCCCCGCGTGAATTACGCGGCGTTCGTGGGCCCGCCGTTGCTGCCGTTGCTTCTGTTCCGCTGGAATACCTATTAAGATGGGTGGGGTGACTTCATAAATTCGACTAGTGATCTCGATCGGGATACGGCCGGCTTAGGGTCGGCCGAGGATAATACATTAATTTCATTATGATTCTCACTTGTAGTTACCTCGCGTGCAAAGTCGTGGAACAGGAATCCCGTTTATTATTTTTTCAAGATTTATGCGCGGGATATCTCGTTTCGAAAGCAATAATTTTAGTAATCTGAATATAAAATTGATTTTTTCATTGGCAAAAATGTGCGAAAAACCTTTTGACTTTTATTGCTAATGCAAAGTTTTTTATTGATGTTCTCTCGATGTATTTATTGATAAAAAATAATTTTCAAATTAATCAAAGATTTAATACATTCCAAGATCTTTAGATTTTTTTTATGTAACCTTGTTACTAAGCTTCTGTTAGAACTATACTTTAATGACTGAGGAATTGGATAAACATAGGTGTTATTTTACGAGTAGGCTATGCGAAAAGTAGGCCATATCTTTCGCTCTATAATTTTATTTCTGCCGCTGCGCCAACACTTGATATTTTTATAGCAATGCTCAAGTTCCAAATTCTAATCTGACTATGTAGCTGTGCATATATATTATCCCATTAAAAAAAGGAAAAAGGGGCCCCACATTTATTCGATTCGCACGAACCGTTTCGCGTCATCGTAAACATTACGAAACAGTTTTCGTCCATGTTTTCGCACGGTTACAACCGAGAGATGTTACAACTTATTTTTACGATAACCATAAAAGAATACCGTAGATATTTATCATGTACATTACATATCTGATGTTTATGCAATTGATGTGATATTTTATCACGTGCAATTTGCATAATTGTTAAACTTTGAAAATATTGCCTAGTATAAAATTGTCATCATTAATGTCGTTAATCATTATTGTATTGCTTAGCACAGTAATTATTCGATGAATTACTTTTATCAGCACCTTAATCAATCCTTTTAAGTATTTGTAAGAAAATTATTTTTGAAAAAAAGTTATTTTTGGGAAAATTTTAAATTCTTGAAAAAGGAGTTGAGTTATAAAAATATTTGCATTACTATAACGTGTTATATAGAAATTTAATTTAATATATTCTTTGATAAAAAAAAAGTAGAAATTAGAATTAAAATTATGAATGATAGAATTGTGTAATTAATTTCTGTCATTCCCCACGTGGCCATTTTTGCCTTAACTCATCAATTTATATTCTTTGCGTAATGTTCGCACATTAGTCTTCCCCCACGCTGCTTGTAAAATTACATTTTGTGCTCCGACGACAACAAGGACAAATGATATCATCAGTATTACCGGTGCAGCTGGAATAGCGTATCACGATCACAAGAAGCATAACGCTCTCGCCGACACTAACCTTCCAAAGAAGAGAACTGTCCTGATTACCTCTTACACGCCCATTTGCGTGGTTGCGCTCGGGTCATGTTAGAGACAGAATCTCGCCGCGTATGTATTGCCGCGTGCACGGATGTGTGGGTGGGTCGCATAACAGCTGATCGTCCCCGCTGATCGAAACGCCAGCAACAACGGTGCAGGAAGTTGCGGACATCCCTGCGGTGTCGTCCATTTGTATGAGTCTCGGAATTTCATCCGTATTCGATTTAAGCGCAAAGATAACGACGCAGCATCTCTCTCTCTCTCCTTTCTCTCACCCTTTTTGCTCCGCCGTGCGTTCGCACTGCAAAGTGTTCAAATCACGAACATGTACATGCGCTTACGGGGAAACTGATAGAGAACTAAACACAAGGATGTACGTTAGGCAACAGGCGTGATCACAAAACAGGCTCGATTGCGGAGATTATAAAACGTTTGAGATTATAAGACGCGACGATGAATTTGATTTTGCTGCGTGAGAGCGAAAGTTGTGATCGCTTATCGCGCTATTTGCTTACATTTTATCAATATTTTTCCTTTCGCTTTATAATATTGTATTTTGACAATTTCAAAACAACAAGTCAAGTTTTTGTATTTGCCTGCATTTAAGAATAATTTAATAATAACGATATCAAGATTCAACCGTAGATCAAATCTGTCCTGTATTCCCGTCCGTTTAATCTTCTATATATCATACTTAAAGGACTGTCGGTCCATCTCTTTCTCTATCGCGGAACAAAATGCAAGAGTACCAGAGTAACGCAAAGCCGTTGGATCCCTCAAGTTGAACTCAAACATACAGTTATAACGCTCTGTGCGCGCATGAATGGAGTGTAATGCACTTAAAGTATGTCCTCCTCGAAGTGGAGCCGAAGCATCTCTCCCGTTTCGTTCCGCGAGACGCAATTTATGCTCGGCGCCGTGAAGAGAAACTCGAAATCGCACGAGCGTCCTCCGCTTACGCCACTGATAGTTCTAGTGTAGGAAGTACAGATAGGAATAAGAAGGAACTCATTCTCTCTCTAATCCCCGTGAAAGCGCATGATGTGCCCGCGGAAGGGTAGGAGAGGAGACTTGATGAACTTGCCTCGTGAATCACCTCGCCTATAAAAATCGACGCCCGATGCGTGAGAGAGATAACGCCGAGGAGGAGCGGTAACAACAGGTTTGCTTATGTACGCACGTACGAGCCCCCATCGAGTGCGAGTGAGACGCCGCGGAGAGTGCGACGGAGAAGCGGCGCGCGCGAACGACGAGACTGCAACACGTGGATCGCGAGAGAATGTTGCGAGAGTTGCAGGCGGCGGGATCCGAAGCGCGCTCGCGTATGTACGGGTAGTGCGTGCATTTATGCGCTGTTGGGCGAAACGGTATATAAAATGGTGTACGTACACACAACGCGCAACGGCACACGGATACGACGTGGCGTACTCATACGCGGCACACATGGTCTACCACAACCGCATTGCTCGGTAATGTTCGAGTTCCGCAGGTTGCGCCGGTGTGGCGCGAGGGTGGCGTTTCATCTACGTCGTGTTACGTTTATTGCTGCGTATATACGCGCGATGCGTTTGCCGCTGCGTACGTTACGCAGCGGGCGCGAGAAAAAAATGAGATGGACAAGGGCGGGGGAGAGAGAAGGGTGCGCGTACGCTTGTATCGTCGGCTCGTTGTTCGAAAATATGGGGAGTTTACGATGACTCATGAAAAAAACCGGCAGCCGCGCCTGGTTCATATGTTCCCCGCGAATATCACCGTGCTTACGGTGCGCAGGCAGGTGCGATGATCCCTCACGCAACGTGAGACTAGTGTGCTGTGTTGTTTTGCGAACGAGACTGTGGCGTCTCTCCGTAATTGCGATAGAAATTGATTGACCGAGATAATTTTATTGTTTAGCGGGTGTTCGCCGCGGCTAAATTCTACTCGTAACTCTCGACTTGCATAACTCAGAGGCATTAACAAAAATAGGTAATTGCATTCTCGCTTCACGAAAGAGCGATAATTTATGGATGAATCGTGTTAGGTGTCGTTAACGAATGTTTTACATGTTTATTCAACTCTTACTTAATTGTGAATTGCAAATACCTTTTTCTATAATACCTTAATATAAAAAGTATTTATTATTGGTTTCTAATTATCAAACTGTTTTTATTTTGTCCCGATAATTGGCGTTAAGGTAAATTATCTCTCGTTCCCTATTTCCTCTCTCTAGAATTATTCTTCAGCGTTACAAATTCCTCAGCGTATAAAAGAGAAAGAGAAGCGCGATTACATGATTCATCGCCTCGCGCGCACTTAAACCCACTGAGCGCATAAAACTAACGATCGAAATTATTGGTTAGGATCGTGGTTAATTAACATGCGAATCCCACACATGGCGTTTCATCGATTCGCATTCAATTATTTGAATGAATACCTAGGCGCAGTTTAAACCACGATAATACGGCGATACCAACACGACGGTCCGTAATCGATTATGCGAGAGCAATTGTGAAACTTGCCTATTGTTCGACATCTTTCCATTTCGCAATGATCTCATTTCTATGTCATTTTTTTCCTTTATACTCGAGCAAATAATTCTTCTCGATGTTACAGAATATCTCGAGCAACGTGATCCGTTTATTGCGAAAGACGAGTTGCAACATTTTGTATAAGTCGAAAGAAACATGTTTCTAAAGCCGTCGAGGATGCACTTGTGACATTTATTGTTGATTGATTATACCGGGTGTCCCAGACTAACCGTATCACTCGTTAATAGCAGATTTCTGAGGTCATTTGGAAATAAAAAATGGGAAATATTTAAAGTAGAACTAAATTAGTTTGTCGAACATTCGCGCGCTCTGACATGTTGCACATCGATTTTTATATTTTATGATACGGTTGATCTGGAACATTCTGTATATTTCAAATATTTTTTATATACATCGCGATTTATCTGTTAAAATTAAAAGATTGTAATTTGATATTGATATCTTTAATCTATAAATAATAAAATTATAACATTTAATACC